TAGCAGGATTTTAGTTGTAAATCTGATAAAGCTTTCGCCCCAACAGTTCACAAGCTACATAGCAGAGCCTCGTCCGGAAAAGCATCAGACGCGTTTCGCCCTATTGGGGCTCGTCATTGGCGCGCATTCCCTCGGTCCTCTAAGGAGGATCGAACCCGTGACCGCTAGAAGCACATGCTAACTAGCCAGCAGCTTAAGCCACTGAGCCATGGGGGACGTTGGCTGGGCTACATAATTTGCAAACTAGCTGGGATATAGCACCACCTATCTACCACTGTCACTGACAGTGGTTAGCCTGCAAGGTGATGACGTCCTATCACCAGGCGAACGACTGACCACCGTGTAGTCTCTTCGATTCGAGTCCTGCACGAACGAACAGGGCTCGATAGGATTAACGCTCAGATGACATACGAGGGATGTGACCAAGCTATCTTAACGGGTGCAGCAAATTCACTCTGTTGTATGGAGTATTAGCATTCCCCATCCTGCCATTGATGACTTGTGCCAGTTTTCGTACATCACTGTGGAGTATAACTCCAAATGAGTTGCAGGGATACATTCTTGAGTACCGCATTCATGTAACAAATTGTATCGAGCTGAATACGATGTCCTAACGCTTTTTGGGAATGCCTACGCTGTGGACACAAACGACTGAATTTGGATGGTTGTTCCATCTCTAGCAGACATAAATAAAATAGTAATTCCGTTGACAATTGAGACGACTGTATTGCCTACTTACCCCCTAGTAATTACCTCCCAGATTAGTGTTTGGGTTGAGCATCAATGGTGACGACACGCGTTGTTGGGATCGCTTAGTATTTGTTATGCCATTATGGGGTCTCTGCTAGCCATCGACAACGTCTAACAAACAACCCAATTTTCTCTTTTATGGATTATTTATTGCCGCCGACTCGCGGTCAAATAGTCTTCAAGAAATCCGGAAAAGTGCTTGATTGCCATTTCATCCCAACGGGACTCGTCAGTAGTGCGCAGGAACTGACATCTTGGCACTATCGGCTTAAGCCATGGGCGACCGCGACAGACCAGTATGAATTACTAGCTAACCGCAATATAACATAGCTCATCAGATATTCTTCAGCCGCTTCTGAAAATATGAAAAATGGTGCAATACTAAAGGTGTTGTCTCACGTGTCTTATCCATACGTTGGATCTCGCAATTAACTTTTATTAAAGTTAAGTGCGAGGTCTAATTAGGTTCCAATCCACATTGGGTCTTTGAATGCCTACATAACATTACACTCTTCCTGGATTAACATGTGCTGTTTCCGAGGCACATACACGCACGACAACGGTTTCCCACCGCATCTGTGATTGTCGGACTTGCGTTCCGCGTGATGTCCAGTCCTGGGCTCGTAACATCTACAGTTTCCGGATTTGTTCTCAGCGGACATGTATTTTCTGCATTTAACCGGCTACACTGTCGTCTGGCCTCTTCTAGGCTTCATCGAAGTTACTGTACTTCACCTTCATCTTGACGCCTTTTCCTTGTTTCGGTATATGCACCCCCTGGATGTAACGCGAAGGTTGTCAAAGCTGAATCCAGTGAACAATTCTCTTCAGTTGTCGGAATGATCAAAAATGGGGATATCGGGCTCGTTGTGGGTGACACGTATGCTTAAATTTGTTGTTTCTAAGAGTGAGTGCATCGCATCGTGGGTTATCCTTATTTCGACGCCTGTCTAACTGGCATTGGTGACCGCCTTATTTAGCTGTGCGGTGGTCACGCTTTCTATATCAGCATCGTAGCTTTTTTTAATGAGAGCCCTGATTGCGGTTCCAAAAAGCAGATAGATACCTTTAAGCCTTTATTTTATACATCAAAAAGTTCCCTGTTATCCCAGCTATAAAAACGACACCAATGAGTGTTGCTAGCTAGCGGAACAGAGGGACGCAGCGTAGTATGCGGTCTCGCGATGCAGCTTACCTGAGGCGGTAGCAAAGGGCGTTGTTCGATTCAAAAATCTAACTCAACATGCAATTTAGTATTCCGCACCGATCGCCTAGATGTACAGTGCAATAAGAATTTTACTTAGAATTATACGAAAACTGGGGAAATCTTCAATCTGCTATACTTTCCACTGCAAACGTTCGCATGGAGTCCACACCACAGGTTCCAGGAAACCAGACGTAAGCGAAACAGTCAAAAACAGTGCGGGTGCCCTGATTCACAATAAGAAGTGCTGCATCGCTCGCTGGGCGGAGCACTTTCGAAAGCAGTTCAGTGGTTCCGCCGCTTCTAGACCTCTTCATGGTCAGTTGGAGTAGGTTAAATTATGGCGGGTTAGTTTAGAATCTTATCGGAGACTGAGGTCCAAAACGTGTGATCACAGCCCTTAATCGTTTTCCAACCGCTGGACCGGATTTCCTCGCACCCGCATTATTCATGGATGGTAATGAGGTCATCTGCAAAGCACTGACCCACGTGTTCGAACAGGTCTAGAAGAAAGAACCCATACCAGATAACCGGAGTGAATTGATTATAGTGACAAGATATGAGAGGAGCCGTCACACCGACTTTGCTAACCACGGTTATTAGCCTAACCTCGGCGGTGACGAAATTGCTGACTTCGATTCTCGATCATCGCCTCACTACGAACGGGAATCCCAGAGTAGGGAAGAGTAAGCAGACTACCTCCCAAGACGGATCTGTACAGATCACACATTCGTTCTGCGGCAGGTGTTAGAGCATTACCACGCATATCGCAGACCGACAATAGCTGTGTTCTTGAACTCAGTCGATCGAATTATTTGCGTGGAAAGGTGAATAATTTATGCGATCTGTGCTCGAACACCACAGGTCGCATCAGGGCTTATGGTGAATTAACAGATGTTTCCGACAACAAGTTGCGTTCGTCAGTGTTGCTCAATTTCCCCGTTTATGTTCCAGTTTGTCGCGAAGTACACCACAACGTGTTCCCTTGCGATAGCTCACGGTGTAGGCGTTGAAGTGCTACCTAGTGAAGAATTAGTTGCTTTTGATTATGCGGACGATATTGTCTTGCTGTTTGACGACGCCGGGCGGTGCAATTACCCCTAAATAATCTCTAGTCGTCCCATTCGGCATGTGCTTCGAACTTCCAAAGTGCAAGGCATTATTGCGGGAACACCAACTTTTTGATGACTCTTATTAACGAGGAACGCGAAGTAGTTTGTCAACTCATTTACCTTGGCGGCCGCATCAGCAAAGATGAGTGCATACTCACCGAAGTCAGCTGACGTATTTCAGAAGCTAGAACTGCTTTCTTGCATATGCGACACGTGTAGCGTCAGAAATTAGAGGCCGTTTACAAGATCACATTGAGGGCCGCCCTGCTATATTGGAGTATCGAACGTCCTGAATACTAATCTCATTTTGTCCATTCTACATTGTAAACATTCTGACGTTCCTTTATCTGCTCTGCTGAACTATACTCCCATCTTATTGTTCAGTCAACTCGGTAATTCCACCCGGCGAACGACTGCTTGACTCAAGAGAACAGCGATCAATTAGCGAGCTGATAGAGACGCCATGTAGTTGCGCTGCTTTGCAACTTCGTGTTCGTATTTTAGGTAATAAAATTTATTACCGAATATTGCCTACTTCACTAACCACACTGACAATTAGTCACTAACAGCTAATCACTAGGGATTAGGTAGTTAGTAATTTATTTTGTTACAGTTGATTTGATATTAATTCTGTTTGGCGTCAGATTGACGACCCAGTTCTCATACTCACATTTACCCTTGTGAAATTCCATTTTACCCCCTTGAGGGTAATTACACTCAGGCTGAGAACCACTGCTTTAGAACAACAGGTAGCACTGAATAAGTTGCTTTAGCTTGGACACGTACTACGTGTGCTCGGTCACAAATTACCAAGAAAGGTGTTTTGTTTGCCGGATGTTGGGTAGCGCAAAGCTTGAGGTGGGCAAAAGTTCACTGGACTGCGGGGAAAAATTCATTGACACCCACACTAAGTGATATCGGTTCGTCTTTCCTTCCAGACTGGAATCCACGTGACCCTCCTTGTGCTCGGCACGGGACGTTACATGGCTCGCAGTGAACACCGGTGGCGCGTCTGCTGTCGTTTCCTAGTCGGACTGCCTATTTAAAGGGTGTTTGGTGCTGAGTTATCTGCGGGATATGGCTGCTTATGACGCGGGGCAGTGAAAGCCGTCTTATCTTTGCACCATATTCAGCTGTGTGTGGCTATATGTTTTTGACAGGATGTAGGCGCCTTGACCCCGCATATTTTCTTAGGGCATTAAGGTTTTACGCTACGTCCCCTCTCTTATGTTCTTCATTCCCTAGGTCATCGTGGTTGTGCGACAGTGAAGTATCAGTTCAAATTACTGATGTACTGCTGTTAATGATGATGATATGTTAAGACTGTTTATCTTGCCTGTAACTTTTGATCTATCTTGTTTAAGTGTCTTTTAAAGGAGTATTAGGTAGATGCCAAACAAGGGCTTGACGGATCACAGAGAAAATCCTGCGCAGTGTGGCATATCAGAAGTAGGATAGCTGAGAGAAGGTTGTGCGCTCATGGGTTGAGTGACATGATATTCCATCGAATGTTTTCTCTAGCCCAGTTTCTATTCAAGTGTTCCACCCATCCGTGCGTGACACGCATATTCATTTTGCTCGACTATGCCGGTTAAGTGACCTGTGGTGAACAGTTCGTCACAACGCGATTGAATCCTGATTTGATTTTATGGTTTGCCCATTGATCTATGGGACACACCCTAGAAACTGTCTCTGCTATCTTGACTACTAGCTACAGGTCAGAAAAAAACTCATTCTCTTGACTCACATGGTTGATATGTTCCAACTTTTGGACTGTTGCCAAGTTCTCGCAGCTTTGTAGTTGAACACTCGTATAAAGTAAAAGTGTATTGTTGTTGTTGTTTGTTGTTCTTAAGGATAACAATGACCATGACGACAACGAAGACAATTATACTGAAATCTAGTTAAAGCTTAATTCCACTTTTTTGTTTTAGCTGGAAGCCACTCTTTAAGCTTGGTGACTGCTCTGCTGATTACTTGAAGTTATGCTCAGTGGACTATAGACTTTTGCGGAACCCATTTTCTACCAAACACGAAGAAATTGACTCTGATGAGGAGCAAAAGCTTTGGAAGTGCCTCGGTGTTTTCCGCCCCTGCACTGATGAGGCGTTTGACGACCAAGAAAAGGAGACTGAGGTTAGATTTACTTCCAGTGTATTTTCCTTCTGTATAACTCTTACTGTGCATAATGGTGGTCTCCATGATTACATTCGATGCGCAGACATTTTCTGAAATCTAGTGTCTCCGAATCACTAACCATTTTGATTCTGAATACCGATAACTATGGACTAGAAATTAAATGTAGTCATTGGTTACGACACGGAGGCATCCGTTTTACACCAGCTGGGTTGTCTATTTAAATCAGTTTTCTAACGCGGATTGTGACCTCTGTTGCTTCACGTACACCTCGTCGCCCCTTAGTCTTAAGGATCATAAGCCTGCCTTGTAAACCGAGGGCGCGGGTTCTAGCCAGCGTAGGGACCGGGCGATCCTCGCAGCATCCTTAGCCCACGTGTGACTGGTGGTGGTAGCGAAGCGTCGGTACTACCTACCGGCATACTGCTGATGCTCAACATACTCATTAGGGGCTACCACTGATGCTCACCTTTTTCCTTCCCACCTGCTTCCCTTACATCCTCCTCGATCTACTCTATTAATTCCAACGGAGATCCGCGGTGTAGTAGCCTAGGAGTCGGTCTTTCAAATTCTACGCTCCTGGCCCGACTTTTCTTTCCTGCACTAATTTGAGCATCTGTAAAGTAACCCACTCCGCATAAAACCGCTCGCGGCTTCATGTCAACGTAGAGTCTGTACTGATACCCCAACAACATAAAGAACAGTAACTACAGCGCCGGTGAACCTTTGCTATCTGTGCCAGTGGCCTCCGAAGCGTACCGTTGGCATCTATATTGTAAGCATGAACAGTATGGAAAATGTCCGTTAAATCGGTCTGTATTGGGGCTGATGCTACACTAATCCGGGAGTTTATAAATTGCCCGTTGCCGTTTTCCCCCAAAACGTTGTTTTTTGCGCTATCTACTGCAAACGTTGCAATTTTATTGGAATCTTTTGATGAATTTTTTGGTTAGACATTTTCAAGGTCAGAGGTCGCTTAACTCACTGATTCTTTGCAAAGGTATCCGAGACACCGCGCAAAACTTGCGGTTTGCTGCTTTTATCCAGTTGAAACAAACTATGAATAAACGTTTTAATAAATGTTGGCCTGGTCAACTGGAAGAAGCATCGTTTAATTCGTTCAGTCAATGTACTGCCGTTGCTCGAACATTCAGGACCGTTTACTTAAGTGAACTCTGTGCACTGTTTACCCATTCTGTTTAAAAGTTGTGAAATTCTCATATTTATTGATGATGTTTCTATCGTTTGTGGTGTAAAATGTTGAAAATGTGTCCATCTGGGTGCATAAAGCTTTTCTTGACTTGACTTGACAGATCCAGACTAACATTCGCATTTCACCTTTAGAATCCTATTTTGTTTAAAAGTTCCGCATGCTCACTGAGCTCGCTTAGCCCGTTGTAACTTCATGTATTATCGCTTCTTCGTTAGAATGTATTATCGCTTCTTCGTTGGAATGTAAATGCTTCAGAGACTAATCCTCTTGTCACTCCTAGCATCAGGATATTACCATTAAATCGGATCTTAGGGAATATTATGGTACAGTCTAGTGATACCTCGATATATATATATATATATATATATATATATATATATATATATATATATATATATAATATATATATATATATTTAAGTGAGGTTCTTCGCAGTCAGTTTCCAAATCACATAGTCGTCCACATGCCCGGAAAAGCACTAGACTGCAGTTTCAGCCTGTTGGGCATCATCAGTAGTGCGCATCCATCGGATCCATCAGGATTCGAACCCATGACCACCAACGGATTGAACCGCCAGTCAGCAGCTTATGCCACTGGGCCACGGGGGACAGCTTCGGACCGTCGTGATTTACAAGCTAACTGCGATATAGCGCGTCTTATCCTCCACTGCCATGCAAGTTACGAACGTTGCAGAGGACAGGGTTGGCCCCGAAAGACACGACGTCCACTAACAGTAGCTATGTACGACATAGCATTTAGAAACTGTCAGGGCAGGTATATTTCGATGTACTCATGAGTAGGGGATTTTTTGATGTAATTAAGTGAGGTTCTTCGCAGTCAGTTTCCAAATCACATAGTCGTCCACATGCCCGGAAAAGCACTAGACTGCAGTTTCAGCCTGTTGGGCATCATCAGTAGTGCGCATCCATCGGATCCATCAGGATTCGAACCCATGACCACCAACGGATTGAACCGCCAGTCAGCAGCTTATGCCACTGGGCCACGGGGGACAGCTTCGGACCGTCGTGATTTACAAGCTAACTGCGATATAGCGCGTCTTATCCTCCACTGCCATGCAAGTTACGAACGTTGCAGAGGACAGGGTTGGCCCCGAAAGACACGACGTCCACTAACAGTAGCTATGTACGACATAGCATTTAGAAACTGTCAGGGCAGGTATATTTCGATGTACTCATGAGTAGGGGATTTTTGATGTAATTAAGTGAGGTTCTTCGCAGTCAGTTTCCAAATCACATAGTCGTCCACATGCCCGGAAAAGCACTAGACTGCAGTTTCAGCCTGTTGGGCATCATCAGTAGTGCGCATCCATCGGATCCATCAGGATTCGAACCCATGACCACCAGCGGATTGAACCGCCAGTCAGCAGCTTATGCCACTGGGCCACGGGGGACAGCTTCGGACCGTCGTGATTTACAAGCTAACTGCGATATAGCGCGTCTTATCCTCCACTGCCATGCAAGTTACGAACGTTGCAGAGGACAGGGTTGGCCCCGAAAGACACGGCGTCCACTAACAGTAGCTATGTACGACATAGCATTTAGAAACTGTCAGGGCAGGTATATTTCGATGTACTCATGAGTAGGGGATTTTTGATGTAATTAAGTGAGGTTCTTCGCAGTCAGTTTCCAAATCACATAGTCGTCCACATGCCCGGAAAAGCACTAGACTGCAGTTTCAGCCTGTTGGGCATCATCAGTAGTGCGCATCCATCGGATCCATCAGGATTCGAACCCATGACCACCAACGGCTTGAACCGCCAGTCAGCAGCTTATGCCACTGGGCCACGGGGGACAGCTTCGGACCGTCGTGATTTACAAGCTAACTGCGATATAGCGCGTCTTATCCTCCACTGCCATGCAAGTTACGAACCTTGTAGAGGACAGGGTTGGCCCCGAAAGACACGGCGTCCACTAACAGTAGCTATGTACGACATAGCATTTAGAAACTGTCAGGGCAGGTATATTTCGATGTACTCATGAGTAGGGGATTTTTGATGTAATTAAGTGAGGTTCTTCGCAGTCAGTTTCCAAATCACATAGTCGTCCACATGCCCGGAAAAGCACTAGACTGCAGTTTCAGCCTGTTGGGCATCATCAGTAGTGCGCATCCATCGGATCCATCAGGATTCGAACCCATGACCACCAACGGATTGAACCGCCAGTCAGCAGCTTATGCCACTGGGCCACGGGGGACAGCTTCGGACCGTCGTGATTTACAAGCTAACTGCGATATAGCGCGTCTTATCCTCCACTGCCATGCAAGTTACGAACGTTGCAGAGGACAGGGTTGGCCCCGAAAGACACGACGTCCACTAACAGTAGCTATGTACGACATAGCATTTAGAAACTGTCAGGGCAGGTATATTTCGATGTACTCATGAGTAGGGGATTTTTGATGTAATTAAGTGAGGTTCTTCGCAGTCAGTTTCCAAATCACATAGTCGTCCACATGCCCGGAAAAGCACTAGACTGCAGTTTCAGCCTGTTGGGCATCATCAGTAGTGCGCATCCATCGGATCCATCAGGATTCGAACCCATGACCACCAACGGATTGAACCGCCAGTCAGCAGCTTATGCCACTGGGCCACGGGGGACAGCTTCGGACCGTCGTGATTTACAAGCTAACTGCGATATAGCGCGTCTTATCCTCCACTGCCATGCAAGTTACGAACGTTGCAGAGGACAGGGTTGGCCCCGAAAGACACGACGTCCACTAACAGTAGCTATATATATATATATATATATATATATATATTATATATATATATATATATATATATATATATATATATATATTATATATATATATATATATATATATATAGTGCCCCATGC